AGAGAGTTAGAAACATGAATGAGAGAGAATCATTGATCAGCTGTCTCTTGCACACCCCCTACTGGGGATGTGCCCGCAATAAAGGTACATGCCCTTGACCAGAATAGAACCTGGTACCTTTCAGTCCGCAGGCCAGGGCTCTATCCACTGAGCCAAACCAGTTTTGGCCTATGTCTATCTCTTAATACTATATTTACACATGCTCTTAATACTTTTTCATCTAACCTTCACACTAGCTCTATAATTGTTTGATCTATTATTTATAATAAGTCTTTCCCCTTATTGGTGTGATTTTTCTCCTTGTTTTTTTATTTTTTTTATTTTTTTAATTTTAGTTTTGACCTTTACTTTTCCACTTAAAGAATTCCCTTTAGCCAAAGCCGTTTTGGCTCAGTGGTAGAGCGTCGGTCTGTGGACTGAAAGGTCCCAGGTTCGATTCTGGTCAAGGGCATGTACATTGGTTGCAGGCACATCCCCAGGGAATGTGCAAGAAGCAGCTGGACGATGTTTCTCTCTCATCAATGTTTCTAGCTCTCTATCCCTCTCCCTTCCTCTCTGTAAAAAAATCAATAAAATATATTTTTTAAAAAAGAATTCCCTTTAACAGTTCTTGCAATACCAATTTAATGTTGATGAACTCCTCTAGCTCATGCTTGTTTGAGAAAATCTTTATATCTCCTTTAATTCTGAATGATAACCTTGTGACATGGAATACTCTTTATTGTGGGGTTTTCCCTTTTATCATTTGGAATATATGGTACCATTCCTTTCTGGCCTGCAAAGTTCTGTTGAAAAATCAGCTGATAGTTTTATGGGGCATCCCACTGTATGAAACTAACTTCTTTTCTTCTTCAAGTTAAGATTCTCTCTTTCTCTTTAACTTTTAATATTTTATTTATGATGTGTCTTGGTGTGCACTTGAGTTCATCTTGTTTGGGACTCTATGTTTTCTAGACTAGCAGGTCTATTTCCTTTCCCAGGGTGGGCAGGTTTTCAATTTTTTATTTTTATTTTTTTTATATCTGATTCTTTCTTCTCCTTTTGAGATACCTATAATGTATATGCTGGCACTCTTGATATCCCAGAGGTCTCTTAAACATAACAGTTTTAATTTTAATTTTTTTTTTTTTTTTACTGTTCTGAATGTGTGATTTCTATTAGCTTGTCTTCTTCTAGTTCGATTCACTCTTCTGCATTATATAATTTGATTCCCTCTAGTGTATTTTTTAATTTTAATTATTGTATTCTGCAGTTCTGACTGGTTCTTTTTTATATTATCTGTCTCTGTTTAAGTTTTCACTGAGTCATTTGTTTTTCTCCCAAGTTTGTTGAGTATGTTTGTAGCTATAGTTTTAAACTTTGTATCTGGTAGATTGCTTATTCATTTAATTATTTTTTTTAGAGCTTTGTCCAGTTCTTTAATTTGGAACATATTTCTCTGTATGGTCATTTTTTTCTGTTTTTCTGTGTTTGTTTCTATGTATTAGGTAGATCCTCTGCATCTCCTACTCTTCGAAGAGTTGGCTAATGTTGAAGGCATACTGTGGGGCCTTGTGGAAGCGTTCCTCCCAGTCACCAGAGCTAGGTGCTCCATGGGTGTTCCATATGGTTGCACATATCCTCTTATTGTAAAGTTGGGCTGTGATTGCTACAGGCATGTTGAGGTTGACCTCAAGTTGATTGTAAAAACTAGCCATGACTGCAGTGGGCCAGCTGTTATGTGAGTGTTGGTCCAATAATCAGGAAGCGCTTTTGCAGGGCTCTGGTACCAGCTGGGTCACTAGTTGTGTCAGACTTGGGACCATTAAGTGAGAGACACAGTGTAAGCAGTCTGCCTGCCATTTGAGCTGGGTTTTTGGCCACTTTGTAGGCACTACCTTGTGAGCTGAGACCAGCCATTACTTGTGTCAGGCATGAGATGGCTTGTTTGGAGCTTCATTGTGAACTGAGGCCAGTGTTGTGTGTGCTGGGCTTGGGGTCATTTGGTAGGAACTACAATGTGAGCCAAGTCTGGTTGCTACTTGTGCCAAGCCTGAGTGTGAGACTTCAGTATTAGCTGAGGCTGGCCTTCACTTGTGTTGAATCCAACCAAGGTTATCAAGGGGAGTCTCTGTAGCCAAGATATCCTTCTTTATAAATCGCAACCACAAAAACCTAGCTCCTCTTTTAGGTTGACTAAATGCTATTCAGCCTTATCATTTGTCAGACTTTCCAAAAGAGATGTATCACACCCTGCTTTCCTCCATGTCCTAGATGAGGCATGATGGTACTTCAAAGGGTTAAATGTTTTAATACTAAGTTCCATGTATATAGTAAGAGCCCAATAAAGTTCTGAAGCATTTATGGTAAGCTCAGAATTCCATTACAATGTGATAAATTATGTACAGTATTTAGTATATTGGAACTAGAGACCTGGTGCACGAATTTGTGCACCAGTGGGGTGCCTCAGCCTGATCTACAGAATCAGGCCGAAACTGGCTCTCTGACATCCCTTGAGGAATCCTGGATTGCAAGAGGGCACAGGCCAGTCTGAGGGACCCCACCTGTGCACAGTGGGGGCCAGGGAGGGATGCGGGAAGTTGGCCAGCTGGGGAGGGACCACAAGAAGTCTCCAGGGCATGTCCAGCCCATCTCACTCAGGCCTGATTGGCCAGACCCCAGCAGCAAGCTAACCTATCAGTTGGAGCATCTGCCCCCTGATGGTCAGAGCATGTCATAGCAACTCGTCAACTGTCTGCCCCCTGGTGGTTAGTGCATGTCATAGCGAGCAGTTGAGCAGCCTTAGCATATCATTAGCATATTATACTTTGATCATTTGGACGACTGACTAGCCACTTAGCATATTAGACTTTTATTACATAGGACTAAAGGCCTGGTGCACAAAATTTGTGCATGGGGGGGGGGGGGTGTCCCTCAACCTGCCCTGCACCTTATCCAATCTGGGACCCCTCAGGGGATGTCTAACTGCCGGCTTAGTGCCAGTCCCTGTGAATTGGCCTAAATCGGCAGTCGGACATTCCTCACAATCTGGGACTGCTGGCTCCTAACCATTCAAATGCCTGCCTGCATGATCTCCCCTAAACACATCTCCCTGCCGGCCTGATCACCCCCTAAGCATTCCCCTGCCAGCCTGATCGCCCCCAACTGCCCTCCCTTGATGCCCTGATTGCCCCCCGCTTGCTCTCCTGCACCAGCCTGATCGCACCCCTAACTGCTCACTCCCCTGCCAGCCTGGTTGCCCCTAACCACCTCTACCTCAGCCCTGCCAGAGGCTTTGTCTGGAAGAAAGTCAGGATGACTGGAAGATGTCAGGTTGGCCCGATCTAATTAGCATATTACCCTTTTATTAGTATAGATTACTTGCTAATATATAGCTCCCATTTAATTCTATGTGCTTTGAGGGTATAATTATTACTACTATGCATGAGATTTTGCATGTACTAATTACTTTCACAACATTCTGCTGTGGTTCTTGATTTAAAGTTATATATATATATATATAATCTCCATTGTTCTCTCCTCCCTATATACTGTCCAGGAACAAAAGATTCAAAAAATTAATAATTTGGAGAACAGATGTTATTGTTGATTAGGAATTATCAATTAAATGATATTTCATTCTTCAGCCTTTTACAATATGTATTTACTTGGGAGCTGAATATAACTGAATATCTTAAATATCTTAAAATAATGATATGGGATGGGTACTTTGCATTACTTTGTCCATCCAGATCTAAATGTTTTTTGGTTAACATGAAGAAAAAGTACATGAAATGTTCTGAAAGAAATGTGTGTGTTCATTTGAAAAGAACATACCAATTCTACATTTAGTTAACATTCATTTTATAAAATACTTTAAAAGAAAAGATAAAGTACTTGAGTTTACATAACCAGAATTGAAAAAGGATGAATAAAATATAAATTAATTGAACACATAACTATTTTGCCACATTAGACAAATTTAAAAAAAAAGGCATTTAAAAAATAAAATAGTAATTGGGAAGAAAACCCTTCATTCTATTGCTTTTTCTGGAAACTTTTCCTAGAAAGCACTAAAATTCCAGGTTAGCAGGTTATACCTGTTTTGTTGAAAACATGCCATAATTTGCTACCAAAATCTGTCAGCTTAAGAGAACTAATTAGAACTTTAAACAGGATTATAATTCAGTGCAAATTAAAGCTTTACGTTGAAAATTGGGGAGGAATCATAATGTCCAAACTTTAGGAAACACTTCTGAAACTAAAAAGAAGATTCACATTATGAAGAAATCTTTGCAAGTATTCCTGTGTGTGAAATGTTTAAAAATTGGCCCTTTGAAGTTGCAACGGGGAGTCTATATTAAGACTGTTTGCAATGTGGGCAAGGTCATCTTTGTGGAAAGAAGTTTACGTTAACCATAAGCACTGCTTTGATTAAATTTCAGAAAATTTGGCCAGGATAAGACAGACATTGAGGGGAAATAAATTTATGGAAATTACTTTACTTGACTACCATTGAGGATAAATACTTTTACCCCTAAAACATGTTGGGGGACGGGGAAGAGCAGGTTAATGCTGCCATGATTTGTTTTAAATATTAGGGATATTATAGCATGGCAGCTAAAAAGAAAATCATACTACCAAAACTTGGAGAAATGTGAGGAGTGCCTAACTTTTTGGATCACAGTAAAACCAAGTTGGGATCATTATCAACCATTAATGGGCAGTCACTTTATAATTAAAAATATGTGGGTTTAATTATTTTCTCAAAAGTTTTTCTTGGAGTTTGATAAGTCATAAATAATAGGTAGCAATGGGCCTTTCATGACAGTTTTTGATAGAAAGTTTTCTCTTTTCATTCCATTCTGTACAAGTTTTTGATTCATTCTTTTAAATGACAAACCAGTGGTTGATATTGAGTACAAGACGTAGAGATTTTGGTAGAAGTTAGTAAAATAGATTTTTATAAAAAATTTCCAGTCTAATTTACTATATTCCCATAAGTCTCCTCTTTTTTTTCCTTCTAATTCTCACTTGAAATGTTCACACATTATTCAGAAATTATTTGAGAATGTACTGTTTTCTAACATTGTATTTTGTATCATTCCTAATCTATTAAGACTGTCATAACAATGGTATCACAATGAAGTGGCAATTTTTAGAATTTAGACTGTACCTATGATCAGCAAGTTACAGAGCCCAAAATACAGTGCTATTCCCATGTGACATCCAAAACTGATTAAATAACTAAAAAACCATGATGACATAACATTGAGTTCATAAAGCAATGGAGAATTAGCCAATATAATTTTTAAAAAGTGTAAGAAAACTGCAGACATATTCCAAACTCACAGGAAGAATATCTAAGGCAAATTAAAAATTCCCTTCTAGGGACATTAATCGGCTCAGAATCACCTGAAGAAATTAAAACACAAGCACAAACTATCCAAGGCGTGTGACTCCTTCAAGGACCTCACATCATGATAGCGAAACTGTCAAGCGAGGGCAGGTGTCAGTTTGCACAGGAGTGCATCAGTTCCCCTCCAGGTCACTACACGTGTCTTGAACAGCATCACTTTCCATGGGATCTGCTAGCTGTTTGGTCGCATCCTTTCACATCCTGAAGAGCGGCTCACCATCAGATGCATCTTTTTACATCACACTGTATGTCAAGTTACGGAGTGGGAGAAGCATGCACAATCCTGCAATTTGTCTGTATTTAGAACACCTTCTGTGGTTCAGATACGTTACACAGACTTTTGTCTCATTACTCCACTAACTTGTCATTAGGAAAGAAAAAAAAAAAAAGAAAGTAGATTGCCTAAAAATTCTGAAGCTTTGATGGAAACCTTCCAGGCTTTGTCCATCAGAGACTTTTACCATCAAAAGCGCAGATAAAAAACCAAACTGAAATCAGCTTGCAACAGTTTGTGCTTTAAAAACAGTGCTGATCGCATCACAGATGCACAATAAATATTTGTAGCGTTATTAAAAGTATCAACACGGTTTCTGAAGAACCAACCTCCAGATTGCAAAAAAAGGCAAACGTATACATTTCTTTCACCTGACTGGATGGAGCATTATGCAGCAATGAATGAATTTACAAATTTAATACAAATTGTAATTTGATTGCAGAGAGAAAATTACTAAGAATTTTGCAAAAAAAACACAAAAAAAAAACCACCCCAAAATAAAAAAAAAAAGATTTGCCACAGTAGCATTAACACTTAACAGTGCATCAAAGATTTAATGTTTTCACTGCAAAATGCACTGGATCCTAAACCTGTTAGGTACCAGAGTGTGATCACTCAAATAGGAAGTTTGGGAGAGGTCTGAGCATAATTTTACCTGAAAGTCATCAGTGTATTTCGGGGAGACAGCATGCCTCACAGTGATTCAGGCATACAATCAGGGAACCTCATTATACAAGTTCTATACACACTGTCATATGTGAGAGTACTTGCCCACTTCTGCAGATAGTTGCTTTCCAATAGTTTAGGTTTTCAGTTGGGACACCCTTGGGATGACAAAGATGAGAATAAAGAAGATTTAAGATCCCAAAACTTAGACTAAAAAGGGAAGCTCCTCTACGTTATATGAAAAACACTTTATAAAAGGCAGTTCACTGACAAAAAAAAAAAAAAAAAAATGCTCTATACATTCAGGTTTTCCCCATCTCTCAACAACAATGGTTTCCAAAAGAAGACTCAGTAGTGAAGGCCACACACTTTTTTTTTTTTTTTTTTGCATTAGTTTGATATGTTGAAAATCAGAACCTTTAAAGCATCTTGCAAATGGGAGAGATGCAATTGGTGGGGATGAAGTGTGAGGGGAAAAACCAAAGTTAAGATGTGACTTAGGTGTTTGGTGTGGACAGCAAGGGAGTTGGTGGGAAATGTTACAGCAGACCTGACCACTCAACAAAGGGTCCGTCAAGAACACAGTACAAGTATCAAAAAAACAAAACTAAAAACAAACTGCAATTCGACAACTTGTAAACAAGGAAAAGCATTTCACAGATTCAAAGTTCAAGGGAAGTAAACGTCTTTAAATTATTTTTTTTGTCAGTTCAACCCTGATTTAAAAGTATGGCTAGCAAAAATAAAGAAGCCGCAGCTGTGGCCATCCTGAGCAAGCAGCTGTCTTCAGGGAAGCAGCCTTTCCAGGCCCTTCGAGAAGCCACGTGAAGAGGAGACACCTTCTTTCTCCAATCCTGCTGCGCGTCTCTCCTTTCCATGCTCCTGGAATATGCACCAATTACTTGACATGAGGATGGTGACAGTCCTGGCTGCTATAGATTCAGACGTGGGGAGACTGGAGGGGGGAAGGCAAATTCCCGGAGGATGCTACGGGCCACTTCGACATTATTCTGCGCTATCTCTAAGGCTCTCTTCACCTCTTCAAAGGCATAACCCTCTCCCATCAGTTTTGCAATTTTTGCATCGACATTTTCCAACGCTGCCTCGGGCCCGTGGGGTTTTCTGTGGTGGACTTCTGGTGCAGTCCTTCGGGGTCGTGGCTTAGGAGGTCTGGCTGGTGCTTGTGAACCATCTGTGTAGATTTTAAAGAGAAGCAGCATTTAGATAATGAGATAAAAGGAAAGACATAAACAGCATGATCTCATTTTAAAAGAAAATTTATTTTTCATTTTCTCTACAACTGAACTATTTTTTTTTCTTTTTATTGAATATATACTAGAGGCTCAGTGCATGGATTCATGCACCGGTGGAGTCCCTCTGGCTGGCCTGCACCCTTGTGCAATCCGGGATCCTTTGAGGGATGTCAGAGAGCTGGTTTTGGCTGGATGCCCCCAGGCCAGGTCAAAGGATGAATCTGTGCACCGGGCCTCTAGTATGCATATAAGTTATTTAGTTAATCTAGTCCCACCCTCCCCCCTTCCCTTTGAGATTCATTAGTCTCTTCTGTTTCCACATGCCTGTGGTTTCTGTTCCCATGTTAAGCGTCTGCCCCCTGGTGGTCAGTGCATGTCATGGCTACCAGCCAGTCAGCTGGTCACTTAGGCTTTTATATATTTACAATAGTGGCCTGGTGCACAAAATTCGTGCACGGGGGTGTCCCTCAGCCTGGCCTGCACCCTCTCCAATCTGGGATCCTTCTCACAATCTGGGACTGCTGGCTACTAACCGCTCATTGGCCTGCCAGCCTGATTGCCCCCAAATGCCACCCTACCACCCTACATACCCCCAACTGTCCCCCCCCAGCCTGCTCGTCCCCAACTGCACCCTCCTGCCAGCTTAATCACCCCCAACTCCCCCCCCCCCCACCTGCTTGCCCCCAACTGCTCCCCCCCCCAACTGGCCTGCTCACCTCCCACTATCCCTCCTCCCACCAGCTCGATTACCCATTACCACCTCTGCCCCAGCCCCACCGCCATGGCTTTGTCTGGAAGAATGTCTGGAAGGTCTCCCAGTCTAATTAGCATATTACCCTTTTATTAGTATAAATAGATTGTAAGGTAGGTTACATTGTCCCCATGTTTAACACAAGTTTATTTCCAATTCCACATATTATTCTTCAAGCTTTATGCAGTAAGAGATGTAGAAGAGAAAAAAAAAAAAAACTGCCTGAAAAAGACAGCCTTATTTACTAGAGGGAGGAAGTGTCTACTAGATAAAGTCTGTTACAAGCTCACAAACATTCCTTACAAACACGCCACCTGGCCCTCCATCCCACCCGTCCACAGCAGCACTGCTCTGAGAACATGTTTGTACTGTCTCTGCCTGTCTGAGTTTTCAAGTTAATGCTATGAAGTGATGCCTTACTGATCCCAGGGAGGGGGCTGGGGTAGAAATAAAGTGAAATGTAGATGCCTCGAGTCTACTTCTAGGTTGAACAGAAGTACTTTGCTGAAATACTTTATCCAGATTCCAATACAGGAAGCTTTGCTTGAGAAAAAGCAAAGCTAGCCAAAACATTAGCAAGGGCCAGCTGAATTCCAGATCAGTCCCCTGATGATAAGTTTCTCTCAGTAAAACCAAATGACATAGGTGCTCACAAGTGGAGAGTAATTTTAGTAAGACAAAATAAAATTACAGGCCACCACCCATACACATCACCAGGGCATGGGCTGATAACCTGAGAGGGTTGTATACTCTTTCATGGATTTCCATGTAACTATATTTGGTATTTTAACTGAGATGCCTAGGATTTAAAAAATATTACAATAAAAATTGTCGAATTTATGCCATAAAACAGTATGTAGACATCAACATTTACCATTTTTTTTTTTTTTCCCTTGGAGCATACACAAATGCCAGGTGATAAATTCAGTAACAGGTTAAGTAAATGAGGAAGGTGAGGCTTCTTCCCAAATGCCTCTTGCCACCTGTCCCCATCTTATCTCATCCCAATTTCTGCTGCCCTGCCACATTTCCCAGTGGCTTCAGGAGATACTGTAAGTAGATATTTTCAATAGTAAAATCTAAATCATAAAATATTATCTAATACGTTATTTCATATTTTCTATGTATGATATTTTTATATGAGAAGATAACTTGCAAAAAACATCATCCCATTCCCATTCCTAGAAATCCCATATAATAAAAGCCAAATATGCTAAGTGTCCAGTGGTCTATTCAACCAATCAAAGCATCTGCTAATGATATGTTATGGCTGCTCAATTACTCGCTATGGCACGCACTGACCACCAGAGGGCATACAGTTAATGGGTCTACCAGTCACTATGACGTGGACTGACCACCAGGGGCAGATGCTCTGATCAATAGGTTAGCTTGCTGCTGGGGTCTGGCCAATTGGGACTGAGTGAGATGGGCCAGACATGCCCTGGAGCCTCCCCGCAGTCCCTCCCTGGCTGGCCAACCTCCTGAGTCCCTCCCCGGCCCTTCTCGTGCACAGGTGGGGTCCCTTGGCCTGGCATGTGCCCTCCTGCAATCTGGGACCCCTTGGGAGATGTCAGAGAGTTGGTTTTGGCCTGATCCCACAGGCTAGGCCGAGGGACCCCACTGGTGCATGAATTCATGCATGGGGCCTTTTAGTATTTATATAACATACATAAAACCACCCAAGATGAAAATATTTGGTTCCATACCCAACCGAATTATAGTCTTATTTTTAATTTTTATTTCTTATAAGATGATGCTCAGTATGAAAAAATATTACAGTGGTAGGTAAAGCTTATTAAATTCTGCTCATATAAAAGAACACATTAATTCCTGGTTCTTGCTAAGTCTGTATTGTTTCTTGCTGTAACTAAATATTTCAAATATTTATGGTCTGCTAAATTGCATTGTTTACTGTGTTTTGAGGTTCCATTTATTTTTCTATTAAGTATTTCCATTACGTTATGCAGAGATGAACAATAAATTATACTTTGCTTCTAATCATTTCCAAAAAACTATTAGAAATTCTAACAAGCTTTCCTTTAATCAATTACCATAGAATTTATACGTTGAAATCTCCTCTGTTCTGATTTAACTGATAAAAGTATCTAAACATAAATCAAATCTAAATTCCTTGTATTCTGCTGGTAATTTTCTAAAATTTTTTTGTACCATTGTTATTTTGTTTCTGCCCAAAATACTAAGAAGGGCACACAAATGTCAAGCACCTGTGGAAAGAAAAGCTACTAGTATGTGAATGTACTGCAAAAGTAGTGCAGGAAGGCAGCCAGAGTCGCATCAAATAGCGTAACTAGAGAGAAGTCTTATGATTTAGAGCTTTTAGATTTAATAAACATTTGTATCTTTGATCTTGGTAGATGTCACCTATTAAAAAACCCCAGGAAACATATCCACTCTGTGAGGCTGCTATAATAAGTACTGGCCAAATGCAATGAAATTCCTATCACTAATTTTATTTAAGGGAAAGCTATTCTTTGCTTGTAAAAATAAGTAGCAAGCATAATTTAGGAAACCTAAATTAGCAAGAAAAAAACACTTGCACATACACACTACAATTAAATCAAATCTCTAGTTAGAGTACTGAAGGTCTCTCATTCTGGAATTGGTATTTTATTTTTGCACACAAACTATAATGGAAATATCAACGAGAGTAAAAGACTCAAACTCATTCTGGAATAAGTCCAGATAGATTTTTGAAGACATTTTAATAAAATAAAACCTTATTGAAGCAAATATTTTTTCAATACATGTATTTGCCTTTTAAATCCCAAACTCATAGATCCCAGCCCTCATTGCCCTAACTCAAAATCTAGTCCCCCGAACAGTGCTGATAACTCTTCAGAATCTTACAAGTGCCCAGAAGTTGAACTGCATCATCATTAGAGCCTACAAATGGAAAAATGGAATCTGTTGCATTTTTTCTTTTACTATATGTTACATATGAATTTCTACTTGTCATTGAATATTTTATTCAATTTTGAATATCATATTTTTGTTTGGCTGTTGTGGTCAGATACATCTCAGTGTGGCCTCTAAGATATTGAGTAACTCTGATTTAAGCAATTTACTTTTACAATTCTCATTCTCCAAATTTATGCCTGTATCTCCATTTTTAGAGTTATTACTTATCCCTTCACAGGTAGCATGTGAATTAATTAATGTAATGTTCACTGTATGTGCTGAGGAGATGATGTAAAAGAAAGGACAATGTGTTCACATTTTTAATGATCCCTGCTATACTGAAAACATCAATTACTGTTATTGAGAGGAATGTCAGAGGGGTGGAAGAGGATAAAAACATGCCATGTTTTCTGAGTGCATACTTCTGTAGAAAGATTTTAAACAAGATCTTAAGCAAAATATCTTACAAACTGAATAGGGAAAGCCTTTTTTTTTTTTTAATAAAAAAAAAGGCAGACCATTTCCATGCTGATCATTAGAACAAATTGCTTAAATGAATATCTTTTGACACATTTCTTTTCAAAGCTCATAAACAGCCTTCTCTGTACCCACTTTTCTTTTTCACAATGTCTAATGGTAGGAGACGGCAGGTTTTTATTCGCTTTAGAGTGTGTGGGTAGGAGAAGGAAGCAATGAAAACAGAAGATAAAGCTATCACACAGTTCTTTGAATTATGATAGTGTAGTTTTGGTATACATGGCATGACGAAATTTTACCAACTCCATGGGAATTTCTGTACCTGAATAAATATCATCCTTAAAAAGTTATTGAAAGGGCATGTCTTTACCCTAGAGCTGTTGCCCATGCTCAGAGTATTTTTAACTCCTATGTGCAATAGCAACATCAAAGTAAGTACAAAAATATGTACATATAAATATGTGGAGCACCAGTTTTACTCAAGTATGTGAGATTGTTAATAGTTTTTAATACTGAAACAAATGAAGGTGTACCAATAAGTAAAATACAAAATTTGCATATATTTTTTAAATTAACTGACATTGAAGCAATTTTCCTGCATGTGATTGTCCACTTTTAGTTAGAGCCTTACTCTTTGTTGTTCAGAGTTAATTATTTGGTGTAGAGAAAGATTTTAGAAGCAATGATTTAAGAGTAAATTTGATTTAATTTTCATTTTCTGAATCTATTAAAGAGCAGAGTCATAAAGTCCTGGACAGCATGGGAATTAACCTGATGAAAACATAATTAGAAGAATCCCTTGAATGAGTACTGTGCATCATGCATTTTAAATGAGGACACAATCAGCCCCTACAGGGCAAAAGCCACAGTATATAGAAATATGTAGTATATCTAGTATATCTGTGGTAATAAACTCTCATAATTACAGAGTGAGGCAGATTGAATAGTAGAAAAAAAAACTAAAAAGGCCAATAGGTGAACTATGCTATAAAAGAAAAGGGTTTGGCTCAGTGGACAGAGTGTCCGTCTGCAGATTGAAGGGTCCCAGGTTCGATTACAGCCAAGGGCACATACCCAGGTTGTGGGCTCCATTCCCAGAAGGGGGTGTGCAGGTGCTAGCCTATCAATGATCCTCATCATTGATGTTTCTCTCTCTCTCCTCCCTTCCTCTCTGAAATTAACTGGGGGGGGGGGGGAAAGTGAGGGACACTGTTGCATGTTAACATCTACAGGAATGAATACCAACTATTTTACCACAAGAGGTCCTTATTTTTTCCTCCAGTATTTAAACTTTGGTTGTTTTTTTGTTGTTTTGTTTTAGTCCATATTTTGAAAGATGTGTTTAATAAGCAAATGTCATTATTCATGAATACATTTTCCTACTTCCTGTTTCTTTTCTATTACGTCTTATTTAACAATAACTACAGCACCGTTTCTGTATTTTAAACCAAAGAAAAGGCACTTGATGTGTCAGTTTTCTTGCATATAAAGTTAGAATTTCAAAATATTAGTGTTTGACAATACATAAAAATAATGGACTATCATATAATTTAAAATATTTATTTTAGAAGTTTTATGTGGTAAGATACATATGATACTATGTTAAATGGAGTTGAGATAGAATTAACATATAATATTAAGTATGATTTAAACTATGTGAGCATGTGCATAAAAAAACGTTAGAAAGAAATACTCATTTGGCAATAATGTTCTTTGATGATAGGATTACAGATGACTTCTTTTTCTTGTTGCTTTTCAATTCTATTCCATTTTATACATGTCTATATTTGGAATACTTAGCATTACATTTGGCCTATCATATGCTTTAACGAATTTTAAAATGGTTATTTTGTACAATCTAAGACAATCTCTAAAGCTTATTCAGTAGCTCAGTGACAACACTTGGGATGGACATGAAGACTCTTAAACCACTGATTTCTCAACTGTATCTGAGGATTAACTGACAAAAGTAATATAAATTTAACTGATTAAGGCATGATAGAAATCTAAAACTCATCTAAGCATATTATAATAGACAATTATGACAGTTAAGGTTATAACATACTATTTTTAATGGTTATTAAAGAGCATTAGATTTGTATAGAAAAAAAAACCCTTCAGGTATTCCAACTGTGTAAACGATAACAGTTTTATTATCCTTGTTAAAACACAAAACAAAATCTTCAATAATTTATCTTAAAACATCATTAATGACAATACACAATTCTAACCCTTTGTGAAGTGAAGCCGTGATTTCTAATTGAGATTTTAATGGAGATAACTATAGAATATTTGACCTTAATATAAAATTCATTCAACACTCAATTACTTTTCCTTTAAGCAACCAAAGGAAATGCAGTGTTGGAATTAATTGCTTTATAATGATACATCCTTTATTTTGTCTGTGTATTTGGCAATAAGACCTTTAGCAGTTACAAATAGATTCAATATAAGTTATGTGCTAAAATTATTGTATTATTTTCCAGTGTTGCCTTGAACTGCTAAGAATATGAAAAATCTCCAGAGCTAATGCCGCATTTCCTCAGCATGACTGTGTTGTTCTACTACAAGATAGATTCTCTGGGTTTTCCAAGAACAGTATTCAAACTGTAGCGAATTTTATCTTATAACGAAAAAGCAAAACTAAAGTTTGTGAAAATTCAAATATATCTAGTAAAAGGCACAAAGACCATATGAATAATATATTCATGTGAAGAAATAAGCAGATTATTAGCAAAAAATAGCTGCTTCATATACAGGTATATGTGAATTTAATACAAGCTGGTTAAATCCAGTTATTTCTGATTAAATATCATTAAATATCAATTGTTACATCTAAAAACCATCCTCCCCCCCACAACTTTTATAATTGTCTTAAACATTTCGAAGTTCTTTGTACATGTGGATATGTGTGTGTGTGTGTGATATATATATATACATACATACACACATCCTTTTTTAATAAAATTATATTTTCAAATTCTATAGAAAGTGTCTTTACATATAAATTTTACACATAAACAATTCACTACTAGTCATTTAGATCACCATAAGGACCTGAGAAATCGAATTTATAAGGTATAGCAATTACATCAAAATCCTCAACGGTCATCTTAAAAAGGCCTCAATGAAAGCATATTACTGCAAAATAAGGGCTATTATAATCCTAAAGATACATAACAACAAGCCTCAAGTTTTTAATGAAAAGACCTAGGATAGAAGGCAAGCCCAGTCTCTCTGCTGGTGTGAAATTAATAAGTGGACCTCTTGGTAGCTCTGTGAACTACATGTGAGCAAAGATCTTGTTGGAAAAAGTATCTTATTTTCTGAGGTTTGACCTTGTTTGTAAAGAGTTCAGGGAGTAAGTTGAAATATTTGCTGTCACAGCTAGCGGAAGCTCTCAGAGTAATAACCAGGTCTATTTTATCACGCAGGTAAAAGCTGGTTCAGGCTTCTGGTAAATGTCTATTTGGGGACATTTCAACAAGGTTTGTGACTCAAGGTTTATCCTTAAAATTTCTAGAGTAATCAGAATTCCTGCCATTTGAAATCACACAGGTGAATGATGTTCCTCTGGACTCTACAACACCCACATTTTATGGAACAACTTGTAAAGAAGCTGTGAAAATAGAGCATTTTGGCCACAACTCTTCCCGTAACTTGAATATATGTTTCTTCTAATTCAGAGTTGGTGGTATTCTAAATCGGTCATGGTACTCTCCTCAAACTCGTACTTTTACATCACTTCCTTATGGGACTTTATGCCTTCATTTACACAGAAGCTGCCTGGTATTGTCTCCCCTTCTTCTTGACTTTCACACTTTTTTACTAATCTGAAAATCTACCCTTTTGGCTGGAATTACAGTGCTTCATTGGCTACCCAATGGATATGTCTAAAGTCTTAAAAAAAAAACTAGAAGTAATCTGGCAAGAGCATGGACCAAAAATTGAAAAGGCTAATAAAATTTTCTATGTTCTCCTGAGTTTTATTCAGGTATTAAAACTTACAGGAGAACTTCAGCATTTCCTATGCATGTCATCAAGTATGCAAGAACTGGCTTGATAATTCTCAAATCAGCCATTACTTATTTTGATTCAGAAGTTACAGAATAAATGGCTATCACTATAACAAACTTTCTGTGAACCGAGGTTTGAGCTAAAGAATAAAAATAGTAAGAAAAACGTCTGATGTTTACAATTATGAGATAAAAATATTGTCCAAATTGCTAAAAAAAAAAGGGGGGGGGGCTGAGTACAGCTTGTATTTATTAAAATGGTATATTCTTCCACTTAATGGCTGGTAATGGAGCATTGACTGGTAGACTTAAATAAGCTGTAAAAATCAAGAGCTTTGTGCTAGTATTAATTCTAAAGAGATTTCTTCCTTAAATGGAGAAATGAGAGAATGTTGATTATAATGTATAGAGAGATTTTCCTTTTTCAGATATCTGGTAAGGCAGAACAAAAATTAGAGAATGAATAGATATGCATCAGAGAACACATTTTACTGACTAATCAAAGATAACAGAACAGTGATTTTTCTTTTTCCATAAAGTAATTTTGTAGGCAATCCTCTCATAATACAAGCTTTATAAATAACTTACAAAGGTGATAAAAATACTTTCTTAGGCTGGCAGTGCTCACTGAACTGTAAATGAATTAAAAAGGTAAGGTACTCCAAAGAGCACTGAATAAACGAAGGCATTATTACTATTATCAGCCAACTCACCTGAAGAGGACGGAAGCTGATCGTAATCCTGGGATGTTCTGTTGGATTTGACATTTTCACCTGGCAATCTCCTAGCAGGAGGCAAAGGAACTTGGCCACTTGCTGGATCAAAAAAGGGATCTTAAAAATTAAAGATAATTTTTAAAGTTAGAATGTCTCTTCTGGTTGATTAAAGAAAAAATTCTAGAGATTTTAGTTTTTGAAAATAAATTACAAAACTAATTTCATGACCGATAATAATTTTTAATCTGGCAGCATATTTTCTATTTGTCACTCAAAATGTTTTCCCATTTATTACTAGATAAAAAAGGTAACCCGATTTTATATTTTTATTTTCAGATATTATTTAATTGTAGAATTGTTGATGCAGCTGTTTCTAATTTTTATTTTCTGTTCCAATCTTTCATGTACAATGAATAAGTTACAGAAACTGTTGTAATAGTTGTAAAAAAGGATTCTGAATTTTGCTCTATCTGAAATCAGTTAATCATTCTTAATAGGTAGTCTGTAAAATGGACATTATATTTGTGACTTGTGAGGACTAAATTAATTTATGAATCTGAAATCCCCTGTACACATATGGTGCTTTTAAAAATAACATTATAGGCATCCTATGTTAAAAATCACTGTTGTTAATTGGCTCAATGAATAATAAATTTGTCAAAAGATGTGATTTTTTTTTTTTTTTTTACTACTTTGGCAGTCAAAAAAAGGAACATCTGAAAATAGTGAAAAAAATATATTGTAGACAAATAAAAACTTACTACTTCTAATACTACTTATTAACTGGAACTAAAGGTAGAAAGAGACTTTTGTCAATGCTACTATATCAAAGTATTAGGCCCATAAACTTAATTGGTTTAAAATTAGTAGTTCCTGGGTTTAAAGGCATAAAAGTGATTGTTTTGGGTCACTGATAACTTATTTAGCCACTACTTCCATCATGAAAACTTCTGTTTTCCTCTCTCATCTCACTCACTTTTATGTCTGCCAAATCTCCAAAGGTGCTATCACAGTTCTTGGAGGTCAGGAACCTTATCTTATTCATCCTGTTTGAATTTTCTCTCCTAAATTTTCTCTCTGTACCAAGAACACTGCCTAGCCTGGACTTCATACTTTTAACTACAAAAGGTAAACACAGATTGATTTTTTAGAAATTCAAAATCAAACTCATGAATTTCACTGACAAATCCATGAAATTTGAATTGCTGATAAGGCTAAAATTGTAAATATTAAAGACTTAATTATATTTCATTGTTTTAACTTCTATTTGAGTTTTTCATTAAGAATATGTAAGAGTTTGGTTACTTAAGAAGGTAATTCATGCTGATTTATATTGATTTTTGTAAATAACATAGGCAAGACTTGAAGTCATTAGTTATTTTTTTCCTACTCGAGTACAATAATTATCCTCAGCTTTACTGGAGACATTTTGGCCTAAGCAAGGCTACTTAAGTTGCTTTTATTAATTTCAAAATTAAAATGAGTCTTAGAATTTGAGCTTTTAGTATTTGAAGAGCCAGTTGTTCAGCCTCATTAATTTTGCCAAAAAGTTTTAGTAAGATAAATCAAATTCTATGAAACAAATGTTAAATGTTAATCTTGATGAGAAAGAGTAACCAAAGGAACAAAATATAGTAATTTTTGAACAAATTTAGAAATTTTTTAAGAATTTAGATTTATTTAATAAAATTTACTTTAAGGTTAGAGGAAAGATTATCTTTTATAATACATATACTTTTTTATTTCCTTAAGGGTAATTTATGGGATTGACAGATATGCTTTTTTCAATCATCTACTTATTGAAGACTAAACATTATATTCTAAACACATAGTGTCATAAATAGACTACAAAATATACAGTTGTTATGTTGTTCTGTTAAACTATTTCACTTAAAATGTTACTAGATAGTAATACCATAAATAATATAAATATGGTTTAGTCTGAATTGCTGCCATGTTCTGTCATGCTTTTATAGCAAGTTGTGAAGTTAGTATTGGTGCTTTAATGGAAAAAACAAAACAAAACACACTATTACTGGAGATACATAAATAACTGTCTTCTGATAAGGAGAAATTGAAAAACAATAATGTTTTAAAAAGTAATTCTTTAAAAACTAATTTCAGTATAATTTTATATCCACACTTAGGATTAAAACATACAAATGGAAAATATCACAGCCAATGTACCATTATCTTTATATATAAAAAGCTAATATGCAATGTGTCCCCACAGGCTTTCTATCTGGAGACCAGGAGTTCTATCAATGTGTGCTGACCAGCAGGGGGCAGTGCAGAATGAAGGGAGAACCTGGCCAGCAGCCAGAAGGCTCTGATCACCAGCCAGGTCTAGTAATTCTTCATGTGAATTTCAGGTGAATTTCATGCACCAGGCCTCTAGTCTATATATAAAAACCCTAATATGCAAATAGACCAAAGGGTGGAAAAATCGGTCACTCTGATGTGTGCTGATCACCAGGGGGTGCACGCAGAACATAGCGGGTGACAGGATGGTGGTGCAGGTGAGTGGGGGTGCCAGACCAACGTGCCGGTCATTGTCATTGGGGAGCACACTTCTAGTGGTTACTGAAAATAATTTGCTCTCATGCTCCACAGTCCTGCACAGCACTTGCAGCCACTGCTGGCACTGTCAGTAGGTGTGAGCGGCGGCTGCAAGCCCTGATCACCCCTGAAGGTTTCTCCACCTCCTCCTGCTCCTGAGGTGCAATCAGGGCAGCAGCCACTGCTTGTACCCACTGACAGAGTCGGCCCCAATTGCTCTGTGCCATCAACATGTGGGAGTGGGGGTGGGGGTGGAACTGCCTGCAGACAGGGGATTGGGCCTGCGGTGGGAGGGGCAGGGTGGTGGCATGGAGGATGGGCCGAGGCCTACCACAGCCACACGACCACAGTTCCTTTCAAGCTGCATGAATTCATGCACTGGGCCCCTAGAATAGTAAATATTTAAGAAATGAGAATAAACATGACAGTATTAACTATTTTGAAAAGCAAAATTCTAATGCCTATGATTTATAATAGGTAATGCTAAATTTAAAGCTTAATACCATTTTAAAAGTTATTTAATAAAAAAATCTAAGGGAAGACTAGAAAGAAAAGGTTTGCTAATTGTAAAAGAAATGGGAAAGACTTTTGGTAAAGATGGCAGAGTAGGCAAACACTGTGCTCAACTCCTACCACAACCACATCAAACTGACATATACAACAACCATCTCTGAGAACCACTTGAAATCTCGCTGAGCAGAAGTCCTATAACTAAGAATATAAAGGAGCCATGTAGAGCCTAGTATGCAAGGTGGAGATATGAAACAGGCAGATCCCACATCCCCGCTCTGGCAATTAAGAATTAGGAGGCTTATCTCGACTGAAGAGGTGTTCCCTAAGGAGCAAGGGGTCTCCAAGCCAGCACTCCAGTGCCAGGAAGAGGAGTCTTCATAACATCTGGCTATAAAAACCAGCAAGGACTGCATCTAAGTGAGAGGGAAGGCAGCTGGAGAACTAGGTGCTGTAGGTCTTAAAGGGCACAAACTCGCTTACAAACTCACTCACTCTGGGCTCCTACGCAGAGGCAGCATCTCAAAACCAGGGACATATGGGGAGAAACTGTATTGACTGGCTACGGCTGGGTAGGCAGGGGTAGAGACATCTCCCTCCAGGGTTGAAGCGTTAGCAGGTGCTATTGTATTTTTGTTGAGGGCTCTCCCAATCCAGACATTCTGGCTCAAGTGGGTGCTGAATCTGGGATCTCTATTAACCTGGCTAACACTCTATGTCCTACCCTGATGATTTCCTGAGATTATGCCTCATCCTACCAGCATGTTCACTTGAACCTTTTCCAGTGGATCCTCCACACAAGCAGCCTGACTTGGCTCATGCTGCAGACTTTCCTAAAACCCCCCAAATGTCCACAAAACTTTAAAAAAGCAGTAAGTATCTGGTCTTTGTGTGTTTTTCTATGTTAAGATAGGCATGATCAGTGATCAATCTTAACTTGGCAATGTACTAGGTGTACCAGTTAATAATGCAGATTTTTTTAAATAGATGAAGTTACACATAGGTTGATAATGTATGCTATTTTGTTGTATTGACAGCAAGCCTCAAAACTTCATGTCAAATTTTCTGAAGATGTTAACATAGATATTTTTACACTTAAAAATGTTGAATTTCGTGCCCCAAAAAGAGCATTTGCGGGAAGTTTTAATTCATTATTTTGAAGAGAAGTGCTGCTGAAAGTTATAGTATATTTCAGAAAGTTTATGATGAACATGCTCTACCTCAAAATGCGTGTGAATGATGATTTAAACACTAAAAGTGATTATTTTGATGTGAAAGATAAAGAAATCCAAGTCGACCATAAAATTTTGAAGACCAACAATTACAAGCATTATTGGATGAAGATGCGTGTCAAACTCAAGAACAACTTGCAGAAAGATTAAACGTTAATCAGCAAACAATTTCTGATCATTCACAAGCAATGGGAAAGATTTTAAAGGAAGGAAAATGGGAGCCACATCAAATTTCTGAAAGACAAATGGAAAACTGAAATCATCAGTAAAATGTTGCTTCAATGGCAGGAAAGAAAGTCTTTTTTGCATTGAATTGTAACTGGTGATAAAAAGTGGATTTATTTTTGAGAATCCCAAATGCATAAAATCAAGGGTTGATCATGTCAACCACCATCAACATTGACTGCAAGGCCAAATTACTTCAGGAAGAAGACAATGTTCTACTTTTGGTGGGATTAGGAAGGTGTGGTGTATTATGAGCTTCTAAAACCAGGTGAAACCATTAATACTGAACTCTACCAGCAACAAATAATCAATTTGAACTATGCTTTGATCATGAAACTACAACAATGTGCCAGAAGACACAGCAAAATAATTTTGCTTCATGATTATGCAGCATCACACTCTTCAAAACTAGTTAGACATGTTAAAAGATTTTTCCTGGGAAGTACTAATCCACCCACTGCATTCACCAGACATTGCTCCTTCAGATTACCACTTGTTCTGATTGATGGCACATGCACTTTCTGAGCAGCACTTCAAAATTTCTACTTCAGAAGTAGAAAATTGTGTCTCTGAATGATATGTCTCAAAACA